AGGGAGAGGAGGAGGAGGAGGAGGAGGAGGAGGGAGAGAGAAGCCAGAGAGAAACTTGTCTTGGGGATTAATAGGAGGCAGGAGGAGGGAGAGGTGCACACAGGTAAGCTCTGGGCAGGTGTTGCCCCCCTGAGCCTCCCACCCAGGGTGCCACGATGCTCCTGCCCTCTCCGGCCTCCCTTTCCATCCCCAAAAACATCTGCTCTTCCTCCTTTTTTCCCCCCTCTCCTCTTGGTTCTTCTGTCCTGCAGCGCTCTGGAGTCTTTGTTCTTTCTCCGCTCCGGTTCCAGGAGTTTCTCTCGCCGTGGGCTGGAGGAGGGGGGGATTTGGGGGCTGGGGGGTCACAGGGAAGCTCGGGGGGTGTGACAGCGCTGCGGCCACCGCCAGGCGCTTTTGGGGGGACATGAAGTGTCCTTTGTGCGTCCCCACACCCCAAACCCCAGCACGATGGGCTCTGCAGCCAAACTGGGGGCGCCAGGGGTCGGAACTGGGGGAGCCGGGGGGGCTGCAGAGCCCCGGCCATGCCCAGCACAATCCCTGCCTTGGGAAGCAGGAGGGAAAACAAGCGAGGAAAGGGAGAGGAGGAGGAGGAGGAGGAGGAGGAGGGACCCCTCCGGAGCCGGGAATGCCACCGGGATCCTCCGGGAACATCGGAGCACCTTGTCCTGCCTGCGACAGCCGGCTAGAGCTTTGGGGGGGCTCTGGGGGGCTGCTCCCATCTCCCCGTGCCGGAGTGGAAACAGGGAGTTTTGGAAGGGACCGGAGCGGGGTGGGGGCGAGCAGCCCGACAGCTCCAGGAATTGCTGTTCCCCAATTCCAACGCGCTGCTTTTCTGCCCGAAATGTAGGTGGTAAAGTCCCTTTTTCCTGTCTGGATCGCACCGAGCATTCCCAGGACATGTAATGCCACTTTTCCTGCCCGGAGCCGGCTCAGCTCCAGGTGGGAGGGGAGGTGCAGCCCCCTCCCCGCGGGGGTCCCGTTTGGAGCCGGCTCTTTGTCCCCACGGGAGGAGAAAACGGGAAATGATGTTCGCTGAAATCCTGGGAAAAAAGGGTTTTGTTACTGGGAAGAGGCTCATCCCAAACCTGCCCTTGCCCGGCGGCTGGAGAGGTTTAGGGAAAAGCAGCTCCAAAACAAAACATGGGAATGCATCCCACTGGCGTGCGGCTCGTGAGGGCTTGGAAACTTCCCTGGGATCCTGGGATTCTGGGATCATGGAATTCTGGGATCATGGGATCCTGAAATTCTGGGATAATGGGATCATAGGATCCTCCAGTCCTGGGATCCTGCCATTCTGGGATCTTGGTATCATGGGATCATGGGATCCTCCAGTCCTGGGATCCTGCCATTCTGGGATCATGGGATCATGGGATCCTCCAACCCTGGGATCCTGAAATTCTGGGATAATGGGATCCTGTGCGATTCTGGTACTCTGGGATCCCTCGATCCCGGCCCAGCCTCGCGTGGCGCCCAGGGCATCCCAGAGCCGCCTCCCGGGCAGCGCAGCGCCCTTTCCTGGGACAGCCAAAATGCGGGAATTCTCTCCCTGCTCCGCGGGGAATGAGGGATCAGCGCTTCCAGCCCGGGAAGAGATCAAAGCGCAGCCGCGGGAGGTTTTCCCTGCCCTTGGAAGAGGCTGGAGAGGAGGGAATGAGGCGCCGGAGCCGTTTCCCAGCCTGAGGGAGAAGCGGAGCGGGGCGAGGCGGCTGCTTGGGGGGCCAAGCGGGGCGTGTGTGGGGTCCGGGCCGGCGGCGCTTTGGCAGCCAGGATCCGCTTTTGTCCCTGTCCAGCCATTCCCACTGCGTGCGGCAGCGGGATCCGAGCCGGGAGCGGCGCTGGGAAGGGTCGGGACACGCAGGGAGGGAGGAATTGCTGAGACCGGGAGAGCAGCGGCAAGGTGCTCCCGGCCAGGGCCGCCTTCCCACGGGCGCTGCCGCGGGAGGAGGGAGCAGAGGATGGGATGAACCTTTGGGAAGGATCCCGGGGATTGTGGGGACCAGGGAGCAGAGGATGGGATCAACCTTTGGGAAATATCCTGGGGGTTGTGAGGACCCGGGAGCAGAGGACGGGATGAGCCTTTGGGAAGGATCCCGGGGATTGTGGGGACCCGGTAGCAGAGGATGGGATCAACCTTTGGGAAATATCCTGGGGATTGTGAGGACCAGGGAGCAGAGGACGGGATGAGCCTTTGGGAAGGATCCCGGGGATTGTGGGGACCTGGGAGCAGAGGACGGGATGAGCCTTTGGGAAATATCCTGGGGGTTGTGAGGACCCGGGAGCAGAGGACGGGATGAGCCTTTGGGAAGGATCCCGGGGACTCTGGGGACCCAGGAGCAGAGGATGGGATGAGCCTTTGGGAAATATCCCGGGGGTTGTGGGGACCTGGGAGCAGAGGACGGGATGAGCCTTTGGGAAATATCCCAGGGATTATGAGGACCCAGGAGCAGGGGACGGGATCAGCCTTTGGGAAGGATCCCGGGGATTGTGGGGCCCTTCCTCCAGGAGCACCCCAATGTTGTCGCCGTGTCCAGGCTGAGCCCTGGCGGGTGTCACCGGTCCCTGCATGGACACAGCGCCATCCCAGTGGGAATGACCCAGTCCCAGCTCCGCTGCTCGCTGGGAAAGGGCTGGGAAAGGGCGAGAACCGCGGTGTTGTTGCGTCAGGGCCGCGTTTCCCAAGGGACCCCGGCGACGCCTGGGTGACAGCCTGGCTGCCCTCCCCCTTTTCCACGATTCCCAGCGCTCCGGAGCCGCTGGATGACGATCTTCATGTTGGGTCACGCTCTCGCAGAGACACGAGCGGTGTTGGACGCGAGGGAAGCCAAGGAAGGAGCTTTGCCCGATCCTTGTGGTTATTTTTATCTTGCTCTCCTTGTTCTGCTCCGACATTCCCGTTCCCAGGCTGGAAAGGGGCTTTTCCCCCACCAGGGGTGATGGGAATTGCGGGAATGTGTGAGCAGAGCTAACAACGAGCTGGAAAGGGGCCCTGCTCCAGTCATCCAGGCTTTTCCTGCCTCTCCCAGAGTTAAAATTCCCTTTATCCCTCTGCGGGAGCAGGATCTTGGACAAATACCCGCATCCAGCTGCTCCCTCTCCCCTCACCGCTGCAGGAGGCACCCGAGGGACAACGAGGGACAAGGAGGGGACTTGGCCCGTGACAAATCCCCCGCGGTGACCTTTGCACGGCTCCCTCTCGCCCCGGGGTGGTGGCTTCTCCCTGCCCTTGGCTCCCATCCCGGGGCTGGCAGCCAGCGCCGCTGCGAGCCGGGGGTTACTGGGATGCGGGGAAGAGAAACTATGTGCAAAGCAAACCCCAGTGGCATTCAGGGCTGGAATTTCCAGCTGTTGCACCGGATTTATTTTTCATCCATTGTAGCTGGGGTGGCTGAGGAAGCAGCTGCCTCCTGCTGGGAAAAGCCCCGGGATCTGTCGGGTGCCTCGGCCTTGCAGGCAGGCCGAGCCCAGCGGCTGGGGAGGTGTCAGGACTGGTCTGATCCATGAATTGAGCCTTCTTTCCACGCCAGCCCGTCGGTTTCCTGAATTCCTCCGTTGCTCCATGACTTAACTTTGTTCCAGTGGCGCGGATTCCTTGTGGGCAGCTGGAATCGGAGCTGCCCCGTCCGTCCGTCGGGGAGGGGAGGCTCCGGTGGGATCAGGGGGTGGGATTTGGGAATTCTGCTCCTGGCACTCGTGCCAGTAAATCCGACTGGATGGAGAACGGACTTCCAGCTTTTCCAGATCCCGGGAGAGCTGGCTTGGAACCTTCCAGCGATTGTGACGTTGTGGTGGCCTCAGGCTTGTTGCATCCCTGTTTTTTTTGGGAATGTCGCTGCTTTGCTGCAGTTTGCTTGGAAGTGGGTCCTGCTTTCTGGTGGTGGCAGTGTCACAGGGCTGGGACAGTCCCCGTGGAGACGTGAGGTGGATAAAAAGGTGGTGTCAGCCTCCTGCCACTGCTGACAGAATTCCACAGCATTTTGTCACCCTCCAGCCGTGGCTGTTCCCTCTCTGTGACTCCCCAAACATTTGGAATGTCAAATCCTCGTGTGGAGGGCACAGGGTGACAGCGCTGCCCTGTCCCCCACCCTGCTGGGACATTGCTGGGTGGCCTCAGTGGATCCAACACCTGGATCCCAGCGTGTCCTGGCTGGAATATTGTGTCCTGGATGGAAGATCACCTCCCAGCTGGAAAATCACCTCCCAGCTGGAAAATCACCTCCCAGCTGCTCCCTCCCCTCTGCACCGGGCCAAGCTCAGACCTCAGCCCCCGCCGCTCCCTCGGGCGTTTGTGGGGATTAAAATCCAGGATCTGGAGCAGAGGAAAAACCCCATGGAAAGCTCTGGGACCCCATGGAAAGCTCTGGGACAACACAGAGCCAGATCCATGTGCTGCGGCTGGGAAAAGAGCAGGATGCTGACGGAGTGGGAAGGGCACTGCACAAACAGCAGATCCCTGTCGCAGATTTTCCCATTTTCCGGACGCTGAACCTGGAATGCAGAGGCAGGATCACGTCCATCCCCAACCAGGACCTGCTGCAGCGCTGCTGGGCTCAGGATCCGGCAGCTCTGGGCTCTGCTGGCTCCTTCCCTGCTCCTCCCTTCCCCCAGCGAGATGCCAGAGCCCTGATGGAAAGCAGCCGGCTCAGGAGGCGTGCGGGGTTAACCAGAGCCAGATGGGAGCCGGGAGGAACAGGCCGGGCCTGCAGGAGGGGCGAAAACAGGATCTTTTCCTGGAGAAAGTCAACTCCTTGGAGCTCCAGGAAAGCGTGGGATCGCTCCAGAGGGAGTTGGGGCTGGCCCTGGGTGAGGGTGGCTCATCCAGGGTGGGATGCAGATCCTGCTGGAAAGCAGCAGGGGGTTGGTGTGGCCGGTTCCTGGGTTGGGAGGGTCCTTTTTTCCCTCCGGGGATGATGGAAATTGGGAGTTCCAGGCGTGAGGAGAGCTGGCAATGGGCTGGAAGGGGAGGATGGGCAGCGAATCCCACTCTGCTGTGCTGGATGTGAATTCCATGGATAGCAGTGAGCCAGGGAGAGGAATTCCATGGATAATGGTGA